TAAAATAGCCCGTTTAATTGTTTAGGCATTTCCTGACTGATGTCCCCTTAGTTTCTAATAAATAACCTATTGTAAAACTTGCTAACAGAAGATTTTGTAGTGTAGTAGGTTCCAAGGTTGAATTATTCAACTTGTCAGCGGTGTAGTCCCGATTCAGCTGTGACTTGCAAATGCAGTGTAAAAAAGTAGAACCAAAAACCCACAGGAATGTGGATGCATGATGATACACCTTTACATGCTTTGCTTCAGTTTGCATTTTGTGGAGGTAGATGTTTGAGTAGGTGCCTGTAGTGAAAGATCCAGGAAAGATGGTACATAGTGAACTTGTTTTTAAGTTTGTGTCCAGGCACAGTGTTATTCTCTCTCTCCTCCCGTCTAGGAATTTAAAGATTCATGGCTGAATACAATTAGAATTTTTAAAATGTAGATATTTATTTTATTATAAATTGACAAACAAAAGCCGTGTCTTTTGGCATTTCTTGTTTTATACCTGTCTTCTAAGCCGCGGTGATCAAGCAGGAGGATTCCTGGAACACCCACCCAGCGTGGCAGAGAGTGCCTGAGGGAAACCGAGGCGGCTGCAGAAGCAGGCTGCTGCTGGAGCAGGGCAGGGTCCCAGCCCGCTCCCTGGGAGGTGGTTAGGGGCAGCCCCGGCTGCGTTGCCTCTGGGCGCAACTCCGCCGTGCGCAAGGACTCCGCTTGTGCTTTTTCTAGTGGGGCTGCAGAGAACAGGAGCCGTCGGAGGGCAGAGGCTGAGCAGGCGTCACTCCTTTGCGTCGCGTTACCCGTTATCATTGTTATCCATTATATATCAGTGTTTTTCAGTGAAATTCGAGTCCTATTTAAAACTTTACGCCTTTCTTTTGTTGGCTCCAAAAAGCCGCTCGCGTGTGCTGGCAATAGGTTTTTCCTCAGTGACTGATCCTGGTATCTGGTAACTTTTTCCAGAATCAGTTTGACTAGAGATATACGTACTTTTCTGAAGAAAATGAACCCACTCAACATGCACACATTTTTAACTTAGGTGTTCTTTTTTTTTTTTTTAAATATGTAATTACTATCTATGTAAATAGTAAAGTTCCTGTGGTTGAATAAGATAATGAGAGTAGTGAAAGAGTATGTCAGACTTCAGACAGCAGTGCTTCTGCATTTCTTGTCCATGCTTGGAAATGTCACGTTTACAGGCAACTCATTTCCTTGTGTCTATGGTATGTTTTTACGAACCGTTTGGTAGTTACAGTAACTAGGTTCAAGATGATGTATCAGGCAGCCAACAGTAGGGGCTATAGGTAGCTTCCTGTTGTTTAACTTCCGCCGTAGAAAAGTTAAGCATCTGCTCTATCGTTAAACCTCGATAGACAAGGGGGAAGTGGGAGGACCCCACAAGGGTCTGTTTGTCTGTGCTGGAGAAATGGCTTAAGGAGGGTGAGGGGAATCACCTTCTGGGTCTGTCTTTACGGACGTGCAGAGTCCAGACGATTAGCTCAGAGATAGCACCTAGCTTTTAGATGGCTAACGTGAGATGCAATTAATCCTGTCTTAACGTGATCCTCTATATTGGGAAAGGACAGCGTTACGCGTTTGAGGGTGGCACTAAAGAGCGCCTTAGCCAGAAGCCGAAAGCAGCTTGCAGTATAGGCAGTATAAATATATGTTCCCGGTATCTGCAAAAACATATTTTGGGACTGCTGTCACCAGTTTGTATCTTCCCTGTCATTTTAATGACATATCGTAACTGATAGGCATTTGGTTTCGTGAATAACCTAAAGTAGGAGTGAAATGATTCACTTGGAAAGTAGGAGCTTGGATACTTGGCTGACACACGGAGAATAAAAATACGTCCTGAAGTTTGCAAAGGTGAATACAGAAGATGCACTGCTAAGGTGGTTCTGTTGTAAATAGGAGTTGGGAAATGGAAAAGCTGAGTTATGACCACTAGGCTTTAAGTCAGGTTTCATACTTATAGTGGGTTTTTTGAAGCTTGTGTATCTTGTGAAGTGGTAATGCTTAGTGTCCATATATGCATGCCGCTTAATTGTTATTCAACAACACTTCTAAGCATTTCCATTTCAGGGATTCATTTGGTTTTTTTAAGATTTTCTTACAGTATTATTTTTCCAGGGTTTAAATGCTTTGGGTTTGTAATCTCCCCAGTAGGATTATTTTTTAAGACTTAGCAAAACTCTTTGAAATTTCTTTCAGTACAGAAAAATAAGGAAAAGTGTGCTTAATTTTAGCAACAATATTTGATACTGCTAACAGTTGAGATCTTGTAGCAATCTAGTAAGGAATATATGTCTTGGAAATAATCTCTGAGATAAACATGCAAATCTGCATAGAAGTAGAATAACTTTTTTTTTTCCTAATATTTTAGAAGTAAAAGTTTCAAAATTTTAGTTCGTCCATGCGTGATGATTAGTTTTCCCCAAAATAAACTTAATGTACTAAAAAGCGAAGCTTTCAGCCGTGCTCTGTGTATTTCAATATGCAAGGTGAGAGATGGTTTCTTTCTTCGGCGGGTTGTCAGCCTTGTCCAGCCTTGTGTTGGGGGGAAGCGGGCTGCGGGGGAAGCGGGCTGCAGGGGAACCGGGCAGGGCTCAGGGCAGCACGGCCGCACCGGCCAGCAGCCCGCCCCGGCGAGTCACTTCTCTGCACCTGCCTGCTGCCTTCCACCACCGAGCCAGTAGATACAACGCCCTTTTTAGTTTTGGCCTCTTTCTTGACTTCAGAAGCCTAAGAAACGTCTGCCCTGGTATGTCCTGTAGGAGGCTGACCTTCTTCCGCAGCGTAGGGTGTGCTCCACGAAGGAGGCAGCAATGCACGGTGAATCGCAAACAGTTTGGGGGTTGCCTTGTGCTGTGCCAAATTATGTTTCCTGTCTCCAGCATGTAATTTTCAGGCAAATCCACTGAAGTCTTTAATCTATAATTAGGGTTATAAGCTTCTTTAGACCTTTTGGATTTCCTTTTTTTAAGTGATACAATGTTATTATTCCATGAATCTTTCTGACATACTTTCCAGAGAAGGCTTTCCTGGAGGTTTTCTATTTATTTCTTTTTTCCTTCAGTTTTCTAAAATGGGTAGGTAAAGATCCCATTTCCATCAAGAAATGAACTGAAATTACTTGGTACAAGTGACTGTGATATATAAGAAGAATTTTTTCCTGGCAGTACTGACCATAAATGTTTTTCAGTAGGCTAAAGTAAATATGTATTTCTAAATTTGGATTCATACAGTAGGTTTTTCTGCGTTTTAAAGAAAAAAAAAAGAAAGTTAATTAAAATGTCACTCCTTTTTAATGTGTTAATACGTGAATGTTTGGTAAAATAAATCACTTCTGTCACCAGCCATTGGTGTGAGGCAGTTCTCTGTGTGAATGCCCCTGTTTGCCTCAGGACAAGTTGCAGCCTGGAGGGACAGGCATTTTTGTACTTCACTGTATAAGTGTGTGTGTGTGTGTATCTACCTATCTATGTATATCTGTATGTGTGTATGCGTGCATATGCATCATATACAATGAGTGTCGTACACAGCATTACTTGCATGTTTGAGAAGCAGCCTTCTGTGTGCCTCCTCTGCCCAAGTATCATTTCTCCTCATTGCTTCCTCATTTTCAGGTATTTATTACAAAAAGTACTCTACAGACTTCTTTTTTCCCCTCATAAAAATTTTAATTTTAGGAATATTCAGATTCAAACCTTTTCTGTACCACAGATCTTGATAGATATTGCCTAATCTTAAAAGAAACCTATAAGAAGTCTTCTTTTATTGCAAACACAGCAGCATTAGGTAGTCAGTAAATATATTCTCAATGTCCTATAGGTAAGCAGTTTTCTTTTAACGTCATTTTCTGGATATTTTGGGGAATTTTCGTTCCCCTAAATTGGCCTAAGGGATTTTGCTGTCATGTTTTCTACTGACCAGTTCCCTCTTCAGCTCTCCGTAGCATAGGTTTTGGAGGACTGACTGCTGTTCTGTGTTGGCAGGAGGGATGTCCTACCTGCTTCAGTATCTCTTGGGACCTAGCAGTCTACAGAAGCTTCTGCCCCTTACAAGCCCCGGTGACTCCAGGCAGTAAAGCTGGAGGCATAAGAAAATTTAAACATCTCTAAACCATTTCTGTTGGTTTTTAACAAAACTGCTTATACAGAGTGCTCTAAGGAAAGGGGAGAAATGGTAATGAATACCGTCATTATTTTAAAATTCTTTCAGACCAGGGGAATCTTTAACAATTTACACATTTGGCTCAGCTGTAAGTTTCTTGGCATCCTTATGTTCATTTAGGCAAATTCATATATATATATTTGTAGGAAATACATTCTGGAGCTTAATCCAAAGGGTTGCAAACTTCCTGGCTCTCCATAGAGCCAAACCCATGCATTTCTATGTCTGTCTGTGTTTTTTTGTGGATTTCACTATTATATCTTGGCAGTTCTGTGGTCTTCCCAAAATCTGCTTCAGTGTACATACGTCTCAGTTCTGTTGCTGGTTTTTTTTGTCTTTATATGTTGCTGTTTTTTCACAGTTATATTTTTACTGTCTAGCACTTGTTTTATTTTCCAAAGCACAAGTTATCAGTAATTCATGCTACTGTTTTTACCGCACTTAGGTTTGGGTTTTTTTTTTTTCCCCTTTCTGTAATCTGAGGCATGTTTTGGCCATTGCTTGTTCTTCTACTTGAGGCAATATTGCGCAAAGACAGCTATTGCACATACACCAGCCCAGAATACCTCCTATTATTTTTCTTTTTAGACATTTTTCAGGGGTTGCAGAATTTTAATCATAATGCTGCTGCGGGAATGGGTCTTCTGGAAGACCAGCTTCCTGAAAGTGTTTGCATGACTTTTCCATGTACATACAGTTCTTTTAAGATCCTTTATATGCTCTTGCTTACAGTTAGTAAATAGTAGACAAAATCTTCATTTGAGAAAAATGAAGATTTTTCTAAAAATTAACAAATGCTTTTGCACTTGTACTAAATGTAATTCCCTCCCTTACAGATGCAGAGAGAAGAAGTATGATTATTATAGCCTGCCGAAAACCTCTGTTGTGATAGCTTTTTATAATGAGGCTTGGTCAACACTTCTGCGAACTGTTCATAGTGTTCTTGAGACATCTCCAGATATACTTTTGGAAGAAATTATCCTTGTAGATGATTACAGTGACAAAGGTAGGAAGAATAATTCTAAATAATGTTGATGGTTGATGGGTTTTTTGGTCAGCCAGTCCACAGGAGAAAAAGATACGCTGTTTGGGTAACATACCATAAAATTGTACAACATAGGCATCTAATTGGAAAACAGTTTTTCTTGTAGCGTGCCGGTGAAAAATTTGACTTCTGGACCAAGTTTAGTTTAGAATGGGGAAGCACGTTTGCTGTGTTGTAACACGAGTGCTTGTGTATATAAATAACGTACAGTCTGGTCAGAGCATTTCAGGTTTCCTAATTTGAGCAAGTGTCGATTGCTCCAAGGTTGCCTTGGCGTCTAGTATAGTGAGAGCTACCTGTTGTCTGTTTTCGTTTGAATTATGGGGCACAAAGACAATCCTGGCATTTTCCACCACACATGAATTGTGTTAAGAATAGAACTTTTACATGGAAAAAAGTTTTATGTAACATTTGCGAAGCACTTAACAGTTTGGAAATGAATTACAGAGGCAAATACAAAGCATTCAATTTCTTGAAAGTAACTGTGATTTGTGTCCATCCAAGTTCTGCGCTTTTTCCTTGTCTTTCCTAATATAGACAGTATAGCAGAATCAGAGTTCAAAATGCCGGTATCTTTAAGGCACTGCTGTAAGTAATACGCTACTGAAAAAAAGAACTTTCTATGTAGCATGACGTAAACCAATCGTCCCAGAACTATATTCTTTCTTTCTTTTTTTTTCATTTGTTTGTTTCAGAACATTTAAAGGAGACTTTGGAAAACTACGTGGCTGGCTTACGCAAGGTGCGTCTTATCCGTGCAAATAAGCGAGAGGGGCTGGTTCGAGCCCGGCTGCTGGGGGCATCTGTGGCAAAAGGCGACATCCTGACGTTCCTGGACTGCCACTGCGAATGCCACGAGGGCTGGCTGGAGCCGCTGCTGGCAAGGTGAGGTTATGCTCTGGGCTGGTTTTCTGTCCCACTGCAGAAGGAGAAGGGGCGGTTTGGCATGCTTCTGGAGTGGAAAAATGGCTCTTGGTAGAGGTTTACCGAAGGTTACCGCAGTCTAGTCCCTGCGGCACTGCGAGCGTTTGCTTCCTGGCGGTGGGGTAGCGAATGGAAGTGTGGAAGATCAGGAGGTGGATTTTTGTTTTCTCCCAAGGACCAGGCTCTTTTTCTTCAGAGAAGGGAAAATTCTGTTTTCAGGAAGAGGAATCCTCCCCCAGCTTTGAAACTACCTTGGGAAAGGTGGCTACTTCTGTCAGCCTGGGTGGTGGATGAGAAGGTCTGGAAAGATGCCTGCCCTGAGACATCCCCGGTTGCAGGCTGGAAGAGAAGTCAATAAACTCTGTCATTCCAGTCCTGAGCTAATCCATATCTCTCCAAAAGCACACGCTGTCTTGAGGCGTGTGAGTCTTCCTGATTCCTAGTGGAACTTGTGTTCTCAAACTCCCCATGTCCAGATAACTATGAACAGTTAGATAGTGTGAAGAAAGGAAAAAGGGTAAAATCAAAGAATAAGCATGGTTTTAACAACTGTCCTGTGAAGAAACAGTACATAACTGTGGAGACGATTCTGTAATTTCTTCACTTCTTTAGCAAACCACTAGATGGCAATCTTGAGGAAGGATTTGGATAGTTCTAAGTGCAGTAAATCACCTTCTGTGAAAAGTTAGCCCTGGATGTATCTTGGAATTTTTGCCCTTCTTGCTGCAGATGCAGATAAACGTCTCTAAGAGGATGTTTGCATGGCATATCTCGACTCAAAAGTGTGGAAGCAATGCAACAGTGTTAGCGTTTTGCAGTGCAAACATAGTTGTATTTGTAAGATGCTTGTGCATTGTACCATCTAATTAATTCTTAACTTACAGAAAAGGTGATGGCTTTTCACTTCCCTGATTCCTTTCATAACTGATATCACGTGCCAGATACCTAATTTTTACTCCTTTTCCTTTAAAGGAGCAACAAAGCATTTTTACATTTTATGGAGAATTTTTTCCTCTGTGTACATATCATTCTCATTGCTTTGCACATAAGCTTTACGCAAGTGAGACAGGAGATAGCAATATTTATATTAGCCCTTTTGTGTGCTCTACCAAACAGGATTTCAGTGGGCGATCATAAAGAAGAAAACAGCTGTGTGACGACATCCCTCTGGCAACAAGGGACCATTTCATATTTAAGGCAGTCTTTCTCAGCTCAGACAATACTTCTTTGGAACCGCTTCTGTTCTCTGCTGCATTTAACCGCCACAAGCTGCTCTAATTTCAGAGTCAGAACCCCTTGGTCAGCCTGCAGGTTTTAAGCTTAATAGTCCCATGAGGAACTGGCTTCCCTTGAATGACACATACATCAGGTCTCTTCCTTGTTTGGCAATATAACATGTTCAGTTTTGCTCCTCCGCTGGAATACCCAAATCCAGATGGTTTGGGCTAGGTTAGATGCAGGGCTAAAACAAGTACCAGCATCTTAAAGTCAAACAAGTCATTTTTTCACTGAACTAACAGGAGATATCTAAGACTAGTGTAGAGAAGATTGCTGAAGAGTGATTTTGGAGAAAAGCCTTAGCCTGAGCTTGTGTGCTTAAAGTTGATCTCTCCTGGTACTGAGAGGCCTTTCCAGAAGCTGAGGTGAAGGCAAAGGATCCCACAGTCTTTTGTAAGGGCAAATGCTTTTGGAAAGGAATCCAGAAAATCTTGCATGGTTCTGAGAAATGGGAGGAAGGAGTTTATTTCCTTGCAGAAATAGACCTGCAAGAAATGTTGTCAGCTCTGATGTATTCTTAGTGTGATAAAGATCTTAACTATCTTTACATCAGCCTTGGTGATAGGTGTGTCATTCTGCAGTACTATCTTGTTTCTCCTTTTTATCTCCTATGTTGTCAGGGTTTCTGGAGGTCTCCTTCATGCGTGTTTCACTGTTGGAGATCTAATTCCAGTATTGCATGGTTTTTTTTCCTGTTTAAGCTCATGGCTTCTTTTTGAGTTACTCTTGTAGTGCTCAGTATAACTTTCTGCAGATGATCAGAGTTACAAGAACAACCATGAGCCAAGAGCCTAGCTACCTTATTCATCCTTGCAGAATCTTAGTCATGCTGCTTTCTAAATATCTTGAATGCAGCTACCTGTACAAAACAAAATAGATGTTTTTGTTGAGAATGCAGTGCTGGATATGGCAGCCAAGCCAGACGCTGAATGTGTTATCTCAAGCCATCTGGCATACCTCACTTCCACTGTCCAGGAAGATTGATGCTTGCCAGGTGCCTAGAGCTGAGTCCATCCTGATGCATCCTCCTGATGCATCCTCAGCAAGAAATCGGTGGTTATTCTTGCAGCTATCCTTTCCTTGTATTGCAGCATGAGTTAAAAAGGAGCAAAATTTTGCATTTGGTATATGTAAGTGTTCTCTGTTCTTGACAGTTCTAGTTTTTGAGAGACATTTCTAATGGAAGTCACCCTTTTCTTTTAAAATCATATTAGGATTGCAGAAGAAGAATCAGCTGTCGTCTGCCCTGTTATTGATGTTATTGACTGGAATACATTTGAGTACTTGGGAAATGCTGGTGAGCCACAGATTGGTGGATTTGACTGGAGACTGGTCTTCACTTGGCATAGTACCCCTGAAAGAGAACAAAAACGGAGGAAGTCCAAGACTGATGTGATCAGGTTAATTTTTATGCATCTTAAGAAACTGTGAATGTTACAAGTGCTTTTGACTTCACTTGGAAATGGAGGTACTGAAAAATATTTGAAAAATGAGCATATTACTAAAAATTACATGTCTTGTTTAGTTCCCCTTTTTTCCAAAATAGCTCCTGCTCACCATGCTCCTGAAAAAATACTGCTCTAAATGCTGAAATGCCTGTGTAATCTTCCATATGGAATCATTATTGCACAAGCAGTCTCTGGACTCCTGCAGGCAAACTCCCACAGATGCTTATCAGCACACGGAAAGGTTGTAACTGATTTAACTAATACTAAAGGATGTCCTCTGTGCCAAGCAAAGATGTTTGCGTTGTAAAAATGCATTGTGGTCGATAATGAAAAAGGGAAAAAAAAACATCAACCAGTAAGAAGTAGTTTCGAAGACTTTATCTATGCCGTAGCGATAGCGGTGGTTCCTTGCTCAAGGTGAACCTTTTCAAAGGTGAACCAATTTGCCAGTTCTTCATTGGGATGAAATGATACAACTCTACCCACCGTAGTTTCTGTGAAGGGCTAATTCATAGGAGCTCATGCGGATGTCTTCCTTGTGGGTTTTAGTTTTGTTTTATTTTAAGACAACTTGCAATCAGTCGGTATTATCCGTCACTCCATACTGTATTTTTAGGAGAGGTAAGGTAAGAGTACAAACAATGCATCTGGAAAATGGACACTGTAGACAAAATCCTGATAGTTGAGGGTCAATTTAGAAGTTGCTGTATTTCAGTAGTGTATTGTAAGAAATGAAGCAGTTGTTCGGCATTTTTAACATCACGATTTTGTTAGTCCTTGCTTTTATTTATAATCTGTTATCTTATGGACTACAACAAATACAGAATTATCTCAGAATTTTCTCAGTCTTTTTTAGATTGCTTATCATGGTAATAATACCCAGTACTTCACAAATATTCATGAACTTATCCTCAACTGAGAGAAGAGAACTTTTTTTTTTTTAAATAGGAAAAGCAAGGCAGTAATTTAGTCCTCCTCAGCATATATTAGTCCACATCCTCCTGGAAAAAAGTTTCAAAATAGAGTAAATGTTTTTAAAGCCTTTAGTTTAAATATGATGCTTTTCTTCTCCATGACAAGAAGAATTGTCTTTGGCATGCCAAGGGTAAAACGATGAGGGATAAAGCTTCATGGTAGCCCGAGGACTGTGAGCTTGACAAGTGTCTGGAGAAAGCAGAGCGCGGTGTCACTGACAGCTGTGTTTGGAAAGACGAGATCTGGAGTGAGACAGAAGACCTTGACTGGTTATGGAGTTTGTTTTTTTTTTCTTCCTTCTGTCTCACCTCATCTCTTTCCGTTCTTTGAAACAACATATGACAGTGTAAGACAGTGTTGCTTCAAAAAGATGGCTGGTAAAATTAGTTTTGACAGATTAAGAGTAACTGATCACTGCACCTAGCATTTGTTAATATTTACCTCAACAGCAATTTAGTAAAATTCATAAAGTGTCAGCTGAATTTAGTTCCAACCAGCATTATATGCTTGGCACTTTAAAGAGGGTCTTTTTCTAAGACTGTAAACAATTAGGAACGATAATGAACAAATTCAAGTTTATATATACGTGCACACACTACCCTACTGAAAGTACACCCCCTAAGTGTGGTCTTCAGTGAGGATCCAATCTTGGCCCCTGATTTTTCTTCCAAACATAGCAAACAATTAAAATACAGATGGGCAGATCTTAGAAAGAAAAAAATCTCTTCAGGGGCTCTATTTACTCAATTCTGCTCAGTTGATGTCTGAGAGTTTTTCCACTTGATATTAATGGGATCAGAAATGTTGTTATTAATTACTAAAGACTAAAGTCAACACTAAGTGTTGACTTACTACTTAAGTAAAATATACAAAGATACCGCACTTAGAATTTCAGAGCTGACTAAAATAATTCTGCCACAAAAAAGCTTATGTTCTACTATGTGAAGGTAAGAGGCTAGTTATTTATGGCTACTCAAAAAACACTGTAATTGCAAAAATTTGTATTAACACAATGTTTATCTTCTCTGATTTCATTGTTACTTTTATTTTAATACATTCTGGAGCTTGTTTCTGATACAATTTTTTACTACAAAATTAAATTTAAATGGCCTGATGGTATACTACTTAACCGACCAATGGCTGACTGTTACTTTGTCAGACTGAGAAAATGGAAAATAAGAATATATTGTATTTTGGATCTGCGGTTCGTTAATTCATATTTTTCACTTTTTATTTAATTCAGAGTTACTATTCTCTTTTATAGGTCTCCAACTATGGCAGGTGGATTGTTTTCTGTGAGCAAGAAGTATTTTGATTATCTTGGTTCATATGACACAGGAATGGAAGTCTGGGGAGGAGAAAACCTTGAATTCTCATTTAGGGTAAGTGGCTCAATTGAAAGTTGTTTTGTTTTGCTTTTCCTGAGAACAAAAGCAAGTTTCTTATTTCTTTCTTCATGCCCTTTTAGTTAATGAGATAGCTGTAATGTAAGCAAGTGTTGAGAATATTTTGAGAGATGTTTATATGAATCTCTTTTCCTTGTTCTCATGCTTCAGTATGGTTATATTTTCCTTCAGAGTAGCCATTTAAAAACATTTTAATGTTTTGGATGCCACTGTAAAATGTAAGTAGTGGTGTGATATTAGCAGATGAAGTTTACATTCTGTGGCTTGAAGAGGGTCATTGGAAAGAAAGGCTTTAATGTGACTCTGGAGCTCTCACAGCAGTTGATGGAGTGAACAGGAGGCAACTGGTGGCAATTACCAGCGGGGCAGGACAAGCCAGCCCCTGTACTTCTTGAAGGCTTTATTCTGTTTCACTTCAGGAAAAGTTTGTATAAAGGTTATAAAAGGTGATGGGGAAAATCTCCAGGAACTGTAGAGCTGTACCCCACCGGAGGGTGGACCAGTGCTCAGGTGTGAAGCAGATAGCTAGCTATGCTGGAATGAAAAGCATTTATGGCAGGGGAAGAGGGAGGAGATACAAGACAGTCCAGACTGATGAGCAGAACAGTCTTGTCCTCCTCAACTCCGCTGTTACCTGTGCTGCTGCTGATTCCCACTGAGCACTGGCTGCCTGTGGTTTGCCCCAGATCACCCTTAGCTTGCTGAAGCAATCCACTGGTGCTGTAAGAGGTACACTGCAGGGCCATTTTTGGCTTGCAGGGAGTTCACAACTTAGTATTCCCCTTGCTTTTTCTGCTCCTCATCAGGTATGTTTTATGGTCGTATTTGCATTTCTGTGTATCACTGGATTGTGGGAGGGGAGGGTTGGTGGTTTTGTTTTGTTTTTACCAGGTGATAGCAGGTTTCAGGGATTAATGAGTGTTCAAGGTCAGGTTGGGTGGGACTTTGAGCAACCTGATCTAGTGAAAGGTGTCCCTGCCCATGGCAGGGGGTTGGACTAGATGGTCTTTAAAGGTCTCTTCCAACCCAAACCATTCTATGATTCTAAATAGTATTTTGATGCTACAAAACCACTCTCTTGAGAAAGGAAGCATCACCAGACTGTCTCACGTGAAATGTCTGCCTGTTAACCAGAGAAGCATGGAGTCTTCCTGTCTCTTGCTGCCTGTAGTGCAGAAATCCTAGTAAAGAGGGCACAAAAATAAGGAAAGAAAAGGATTAGGGAGGATAATGAACACAGACCTACAGTTGACATGGTTTCTCTCTGGAGGGGGATTTCTCAGCCGGGATTGCTGTTTGATCTGAATTCTCGACCACCTCCTTTCTCACATAGGAAAAGTTTCTCTGGCATGTAAGTCCAAACACTTGTCTCGGTCAGTAAATTCAGCAGGTCTCCGCCTGAAGCTCAAAGCAGCTTACCCACCTCCATTAGGTCTGTGAGCTTCTGAAGCAGGAGTCCCACAGCTGGCTCCGGTTCTGGGGTAGCCCATGTGGATGTGTATGTTGCCGTGATCCCTCCTTTCCACTGGAAGGGATTTCTTTTCTGTGGGATAATTGCTCGGTCATGGGGTCAGGAGCTATGAAACAGCTCTTGATAAAATTATTTTTATGCCTCCTTTTGAGAGGCTGCTCAGAGAGCCAGAAGTAGCAATAGATTGGGTTCGTACTTGGGGCACCAAAGAAATGATCATGCTCATCATCAGTCACAACCCAAGGTAGGTTAAGCTGAAAGCAGCCTGATGGTGGACACCATCCCCAGCTAACTCTGACAAGGGAAAACTGTTTTTCTTGCTTACTGAGAGATTGGAAGGGTTGATGATAATGAGGGAGTCATGCATTTTTGGGTACAGATGCTTGCTGACCTGTGGCTTGCTGTGTCTCTTTACTTTGTCAGCTATGACAATATTGCAGCAGACAAATGAGCAGAGACAGGAGACTGTCAGTTTAGCAGCAAGCTACATCAGAGAGCATGACACTATCTCCCACAAACATAGTGTAACAGTAGCAAGCATGTTGGATATGTGCATCTCCTGAGCAAGGCTAGCCCTTGCAGGCACTTGTTTGTGTCTGCCAGCGCACGTGCAACCAGACTGAGCACCCGTGAAGGGGAGAGGATGCTGTTTTTGAAAGTAGTACTATATGCTCTGCCTCTTGGCAGAAATTTGCACCTCTACCAAAGCAGCAAGCTTGGAAACAACAGCCACGGTTGACAGAACTGGACATTACAGGACCTACTTCACGTTGTTGAAATGTCTGCAGTCTTCTGTGATGCTGGCTGCCACAGATTTGGTGGCACCAAAATGGTTGCCCCCTAACCAGTAGGAGTTAGGGGTAGCACCACCCCAGATGGCAGTGGTTTTCTCCTCTGAGATGGATTGTAGGAGCTTTCTACAGCTCCTTGTAGAAAGCCTCGAAGACGGCCCTCTCTGCGTGCAGTTCTTGGCTTTCTGCTCTTCGTGTCTCGCTTTGTGGGAGATCAAGGCTTGCAGACAGGACAAGCCTGACCCCTGCCCGGTACGACACGGAGTGCCCCTGCACTGGCTGCTGCTTTAGAGCCATGGCTATCGTTGCCATTGACCTCTGCCAGGCTCTGGCAGCAAGTCTTGTTTTGGATGTTACTGGTTCCCCTGAACCAGGTGTTTGACCCCATGGGGTGCAGCAGCATGTATGAGCAGTGCCTTTGCTCCTTCAACATGGAGAAATGTGG